TGGCCTACTCCCTGCCTTGACATTACATGGTCAGGGGCACGGGGAGGAAGAAGGACTCCTTGGCCCCTTCACTTCCAAAGACAGGTGAGAACCTCTTGGCCCCGTGGGTCTCCGGCCTGGCCGCACATAAGAATGGTCTGGAGAGTCTTATTGGCCTGAGCCCCTTCCTAGACCAACTAAATTAGGATCTCACGGTTAGGGTCAGCCTTGGTGGGTTTTGTTGGTTGTTTTTTGCTGTTTTAAACCCTGCTGGTGATTCTAACACGCCAGCAGGACTGAGAATCACTCCCGTAGGCCTGTGTGTCATTGGACATCCATCAGAGGACTCTCACAACTAAGTGCCTCACCGAAGCCACACGGCAGCTCTGGGAAGCAGGAGGGGGAAATCGCTGCCTCCTTTTTACAGGGGGAGGAAGCTAAGGCTAAGAGCAGGGAAGGTCAGACACCTTCTGAACCCGTCCCTCAGCCCCTACCAAAAACCCTGGGGCCTTGTTCCCTCCGCTCTGCTCCGAGGTGATAGGGAAAAGAATTTCCTGCCTTCAGCTCACACCCCAGGCCGGCATGTGGGCCCTGGGGAGAGGGATTGCCCCATCCGTGGAGCACAGCCCAGCAGGGTGGAGACAGACTGAGAAGTTATATGAGGTGAATAAAAACGACACAAAGACAAGAACTGGGGACTTGAGAAGGGGCTGGTGAGGGGGTCGGGGATGGGGGTCTTAGTGGGAGAGGTTCCTTGGAAAAACTCCTCAATTAAAAAAAGGGACTTCATCTCATAGCGTCTGTCTTCAGACCCCAAGGCAAGGAGGAACTAGGCTCAGGAAAAGAAGTTCCCAAGTAATAATGAGACATGCGGCCTGAGCATCTAGAAAGGGGATATTAAAAGAGCCCCATTAAAAAAATTTTTTTTAGTGTTTATTTTTGAGAGAGAGAGAGAGAGAGAGACATTGAGCATGAGTGGGGGAGGGGCAGAGAGAGAGGGAGACACAGAACCTGAAACAGGCTCCAGGCTCTGAGCTGTCAGCACAGACGTGGGACTCGAACCCACGAACCACGAGATCATGACCCGAGCTGGAGTTAGACGTTTAGCCAACTGAGCCACCCAGGCGCCCCTGAAAGAGCCCCATTTCAGAGAGGAGACAGCTGAGATACACGGTTAAGTCAGCTGCCCAAGGTCACTCAGCTGGCAGAGACAGAGCTGAGACGCAACCCAGGGCCCCTCTCTGGATGTGAGCCTGTCACCCTTCGGCGATTCGACCTCCCCGTACAATCTTGGGGATACAGCCGCTGGCAGGTCTGGGTCCGACGAGGGCAGGGGGACAGCAGCGGCGACCCCAGGTGAGAGGAAGCCACTGGGCCTGAGGCAGGCAGGGGGCAGCTGTCCTCCTCCACAAGCTGAGCCTGAGGGCTGCAACCCTGAGCCCCGGAGCCTTACAGGGCGGCTCCGCCTGCAGAGAGAGCCTAGATGTTGCTCTGGTCCCGGGGGCTGACACACAAAGCGAGGGCCCCTGCGAGGAGAGTCCTGGACGCTTCCGGGGCTGCAGACGGAGGCAGGACCCCAGCAGGAATGCCCGACTGTTTCTACAGCAGAAAGAGCCGCCGGTGTCCCAGCTCCGGGGAAAAATGCTTTGCGGCAGACCCACGGCCCAGAATGGCACGGGTCCTTTGCACATCGGGAACGAGGCCCGGAAGGTAGTGGTCTGCCCAGTAAAGCATTTGGCAAGAAAGCTGACGGCCCCAGGGGGACGGAGGGTTTCGTCCCCAGAAGGTCGGTCCTGGCCTCCCACAGGCTTGTACCCTGAGGACTCTGCCTCTGACCCCGGGCCCCCAAGTGGCTCTGGGGGAGAGGGAACAAGGCTTCCCCTGCAGGTGAGCCCAACGTCCCCAGTGGGCAGCAGGCCCAGGACACCCCCCTCACCGCTGCCAGCCACGCCTTCCTCTGCCACCGTGGTCCCCACCGCAGCCCAGGCTGCTCTCTCTGAGCCCCTGCAGATTCCAACTAGAACCTTAAGTTAGGAACGGGACACAGAGTCCTCTCAAACCAGCACACGTGGGACCCTGCCGGTCCCCTGGGTCATGCCTGCTGGCCCACCCACATTTCTTTTCCTGTTCCCTGTGCCCAGAACACTCCTCACCCCGCAAAACTCCTCGCTGTGCCCGACTCCTTGTGACCAAATGCCGTCTGCTTCGCTCGCCCGGCGCCATCCCTGGCTGAGTTAATCTCCTCCCCCCCTCGGCCCCCACAGCACGGGGGTCCGATTCGCAATGCAGCCTCGTGACAGTCCACCTTGCGGGTCACTTGCCTACCAACTGGTGTTTCCAAGCGCTGTCAGGCTGAGAGCTCACGGAAGGCAGAGACCACAGTTCATTTGTCTTTGTCCCCGTCTACACCTCCCCTTGGCTCCTTTCCCGAGGTGTCCAACAGGTAAAATTCATTCATTCGGAAAACACTTTCTGAGCACCGCCTGGCTGGGGGACTAAACACTGAGCTGGGAACTGCCTGTGTCACAATGTGACACGTCGAAGGGAGTGAAGATAATTCACCTGTCTCTCCCCTGCCTTTTTAAAAAATTGATTTTTTTTTCCCCCCAACCGGCTATTGTCTACCTTCTGTTGTGACCTTAGGACATCTCTGGTCGATTTAGATGCTGAGCTCTTAGAGCTCAGCGTCTCCACGAGTCACAGGCACTGACACGCTGGGCCCACACGTGTGGAGCAGCCTCACGGCGGGCAGGTTTGGGGGGACGGGGCTTGCAGGGCCTGCAGAGCTATTGGGGGGGTACACTCACTAGGCCCTGGGGCCCGTGCTCCCCGCCCCTGGTTTTCCTCTCATGGCACAGCATTTCCTACTAGCAGGAGCCTGGAGTCTATTTACTCCAGGCCTTTCCTCTTGCAAGTGGAAACCCGAGGCTCGGTGACGTTAAGGAACACAAAAGCAGCTGGGGAGGAGAGTTCAAGTTCAGAACCGCTTTTCCGCGTCACAGAGGTCACACACGGCTCATCTAGGAGCTCAGCTCTGGTAACAGGACAGAGTGGAAAGGGCAGTCTGGCTTCTGCTACCAACTTTCTGTGCGCCCCCGACAGTCGGCCTAGAGGGAGGGAGTCGGCCCAGGGGGCCCTGACATCCCCTCGTGCTAATGTCTACAGGATCCAGGGCTCTTCTCGGCAACCCAGCAATGCTGCAGGTGCACAGGAGGAAACGGGGGACCGTGGGGGGGGTTCAAGGCCAGCCCCCCCCCGCCCCGTCCTGCTCTTTGGGATTCCGAAGTAACCGGCCTTCGCCGTTTGCATCGTGCTGAGCGATTTCTTTGGCAAACCTTCCCCAGGTCCTAACCCCCACTCGCGATATTTTACAGGTTTGACTCATGCCTTGTTTGGGTTTGGCGTCTCTGGCAACCCACTAGGCTGAGCACCCATGACAGGCAATAATTAGCACGCTGCCTGGCAGGGGTGCTCACAAGAGCCCAGAGCCTCCACCGGCGACCGGCGACCGCAGAACTAAAAAACCTGTACTTTCTGTAGCTCCTTTTCACCTCCTTCCCCGGTGCTGCTTGCAGGGACGGCCTGTGGTACACCTGCTCCTTCCGCCCCGGGGAAGTTTCAGCTCATCAAGTCCCTTTCAAAACGAGCCTGCGGTGCTTCCGGATGTGTGGTTTACTTAGGAACATTCCAGCCGCGCTAATGATTTTTTTTTTTTTTAAATCAATTTACACGCCATCACTCTCTCTCTCTCTCTCTCTCTCTCCCTTGGAGCTCTGAGATGCGCTTTTCTTTGCCGACATGACTGACAGCTGGGAAAACCGCACTGAGAAATACGGGAAGCAGGTCTCAGCCGGCTTGAAAGGGGCGAGACTCGTCCATCTGTCCGAGGGATGTGAGGTCCAGCTGGGTTGGATACACGGCCCATTACTCTGGACTACATTCCAAGCATGTTCTACCCCTGGAACCACGCTGGAGGGACTAGGCAGCCACTGAGGAAGAGGCGCCTTTGAATGCCCTCCTTAAATACTAAGATCTAGTCTTCAGAGCCCCTGGGGCAGCTGTCCCGAGCTGAACACTGGCCTCTCAGGCTGGTCCAGGAGAAGCTTCCAGCAAGGACCTGTAGAGGAGATGCCACGCACTCACCCGTCATGTTCGCCTTCCTCTGCCTCTTCTCTGGGAATGGCGCGGACAGACGGACAGAAGGTGTGGGGAGACAGCTGGGGATCTCCTTACCATTTATAGCAGCCTCTCCTACACATCCAATTAGAATTCTAATGAGGTGGGCGAGGCACCAGGTCATTCCTGTCGTGCGTGTAAACGTTTCACTTACGACATACTTGTCACCCAATGGAAGGTCATCCTGCTTGTGCAAGACCAGCTTAGGGAGAAGAAGGGAGATAAGAAACACCAGGCGTTCACTTTTATGATTTTTTTTTTTCCCCTAAGACAAACTTCCTGGATTGTAGGGTTTACGAAATGATGTCATGCTTTTCTCCAGGTACCTTGTCCAGAGTTGGTGCTAAGAAGTCCTCCGGGAGGTCAAAGAAATGTTTCTACAGAACCCAGAAGCAGAAAACGGCTTGGTCCTTCTCAGGGTACACGGTGCTGGTGTCTCCTCCTTGCAAAAGAGGCAGGAGACGCTCGTCACAGCCTGCTTGCTCAGAGTTGCAGAAGAAAGAGCTTTGATTTGGAGCTCGACGCGGTAGGTTCTGAGGCCGGCAGGGCCCCGGGGCCATCACGGAACCTCAAAGCGGCCAGGGGGTGATCGTGTGCACCCTTCTCTGCTCCCTAAGTGGTGGAAACAATCAAATGAGGTGGTGCAATGTGAAGTGCATGGACGTGGACCGTAATGGACGAAACCAGCTTGAAGGGAAACTGCTCTTTCTTTTT